ATTATCAATAGATTCAAATTCCAATTTTGCAGGTTACCAATACTTTTCAAATCATTTTGTTTACAATAGCTATGTGTAGAATGAACTAGTACTACTTGGTTTTATAGAAAGAAATGCAATAACTGGTCAGATGTCTATATATATTTCTGATAAATTTTCATTAATTTGATTTTGTGGTTGAACATTTGTTTTGTTTGTACACAGCGGCTAATTTGTAATTTGAACATCAAATGGAACTCAATCAAAGCGGCTAACGACTTTAATTAATCCATTCAAAGAAATCCTTTCGAATACAGTTAATATTACAACAGAAGTATGATGATCTACACCTTTCAATAACTTTTTAAAATGGCAAATGATCTTTTATATATAGATTGAATCTGTAGTAGTAAACAAAAACAAAATCTATAACTTGATCAACATTTATTGAATTATAATATTAATGATTATGTGTTAACTAATACGATTCAATAACTTGAATATGACAAAAATGAATCAATAATCAAATTTGTTGACAATATAAGTTTAGTCTAATATAACCATTAATTGATTCAAAATTTAACCCCTTAGCTTTCAAGAATTCATAGAAGATTAGCACAGCAGCTAGCGCATATATCAAAGTGGTAAATCACTTTAGTTGAAGAGTCATCAAACAAATGTACAAAGAGGAAAAATTCTCAAAAAAACTTAACCATGATAAAGAATTTAAACTGTATCAAATATCAAATTAACAAAGAAGTGGTTGATTAAAAACTGAATTCAGATTTTTTTTATAAGAAAATCATAAATCATAAATCATACACTTCTATTCCCTAAAGGGTAATGGTTAGGAAGCGACTGGATATATACTATAAATAGAGATGAATGTAGCTGATTACATTTCTTATTTATATCTTGAAAACATACACTACTTCATAGACAGCCAAAGTGATATAGCCGAAGGTTTGAACAAACTCGATGCTTACAATGTCAATACAAACTTGGTGATGTTTGATTCTTAAAATTTCACCACTTTTCAATAGGATTTATTTCAACATATAATAGGTCTTGGATTCAATTGAGTTTAATAAGAATATTAACTACTTCTTCAAACAATTTCAAATATCATCATTAACTTCACAATAAACAAAGGTTTGAATGCTTTAAATTCCTATAGGATGGAATCTATGAACCATTAGATCTATTTTCATAACTGATGGTACTGATGAGAAATCAATAAAACTTTCGTGACTTTCAATATTCAAAATCCAATGTTACTTGAGCAAAACATCTTAGATTGAAGATATTGGATCTTTATGGTTTTAGATGTTATTGTCCTGATTCAATTGGTAATTAAAGTTCATGATAAAACAATCATACATAAGAATATAAATAAGAAGAAAGCATTTTAAAAATCCAAAAGTTGAGTCAAAAGGGCTAATATAGAACAACAAAATGTTTTAAAATCTAATTCATTGAATGATGATTAATCAAATATCATTGGTAAATTTCAAGAATGGATATTAGCAGATCAAATTTAACAAATCTAACAAAGCCAACTGATTCGAATAATAAGGTTCTCTAGATCTTTATATTTATCATTAAATAAGGTTATTTTCTAATAAATAAGAGATCAATATTATGTATCTGTTATATATTAAGAATTAAATCCATGATTTCAAACTGCTGGTACGTGTATCTGCAATTTCAATCAAAGTATATGGTATGAGTCCAAGACATACAAATACCCTTGATATAAAGTCTAGTGCAATATCTACAAATATGTATTTTAAAATGGAAAAAATGACTTTAATGCATATAAGATCAAATGATCAGAGATCATTATAGAAATCCATACTAAAATCATCATTTATTATTGATATAATGAATATCTTCTAACAATGTATAAACCATCATCTTAATGTCATTGAATTTATTCATAAATCAATCAATTTAATATACTAGCTAAGCTATAGAATACTTTATATATCCAGATCCAAAATGGAGCACAAGAAAAATACAAATTCAGTTAATGTTGTTACAATTGTTTGCGACGTAATATATAATTAGTTCAATTGTATAAATTGTTAAAGATTAGGGATTTCTTTATGACTTTTTATATAATGAATATATTTTTGATCTATTACTTTGTACACAAATAGATAATAATTAACGGCGGCTAATTATAATTATAGATCTAATATAGTACAATCACAAAAGAAAAATTGATCAGAGCTGGTAATTCAATTAGCATGGACTATGTCCAATACTGATAATGGTTGATTAGTACAGTTGATCAATTGTTTATGACTTTATATGAGATTTATTATATAAGTTAGCGTGTAGTTATCCACTTCCAGAAGTTGATTGTAGTTCTAATATATGACTTTATACTTGTGATTATTATTACTACAGCTAATTATTTACTAAAATTAAAGATGATCATCATTATAGATTGACTTGAAGATCTCATATTTCAAGTTCATATCTAAATCAAATCAATCATGTATTCTAATTAAACATGTAACCATGAAATGTAATGTCTATTGTTCAGCTTCAATATTCTAAGGAAAAAAATTCAAAGCAAAAAACAACATATACCACTAGAATATAACTGGTAATGTGAAGTAGACCTAGCTTTCAAGCTGTCACTTAAATCAAAGAAATTCAAGACCGAAATCAGCTCATGATGTAAGCTTTAAGAATTATGAAGACCGTAGTGATGGGCATCCAATCAAATTAAATGAAGTGTCATGTATTTATAAAACTTTCATATCAAATTGATTTTGTGTTTTATGTTTTTATACACCTGTAGTACTTCAGCGGCTAATAATTTGGTTGCAATATCATTCCATACACAGCGCTTAATTATGGTTGATCAATTTGATTTTATGTTGACATGAGTATACAGTGTATATACAAATCACAAATATATAAATCATCATCCAGTTTAATTAAAAGTGTATCATTATGAATATTGTACTGATGGTGTAAGCTTATATGAATAACTACAGATATAATTTAAAATTAAAGAATGATTCGATGTATAGATCAAATGATCATTGAAAGATCAATATGAAGCCATACCAAAATCATCATGTATATATATAATCTATTGATATATAATTGATATAATAAAACACAGCTAATGTATAATATATTATATCAAAAGACATCATGAATGATAACATGTTAGATATAAAGATTTGGCTTTAGAAAGAACATAGATTATTCAAGGTTTGATAAAACTGTAGGACGCACAGCTTGTGTTAGCTTTATAAATCCAACCCATCCTATTAACAGAACAGAAATTAATATCATGTTCGTAATTATCAATTAATTATAAAGATTTAATTTCTAGTAGATGTAGTTTATAGAAATTCATGGGATTTCTCAACCTTTATATAATTTTCCATCAACACGGCGGCTAAATAATTATTTGCAAGAGTACCATCAATCTATTAACATCAAAGGGATTAATACAAAGCTAATAATTTGAACTCATTGATATTATTGACTATGTACGCTGAAGGTAGATCCATATTAATGTGATTAGCAACTATACTACAATTGAGATCTGATTTATAAAAGTTAAAGATGATCTTCATTATATAGATTGACTTGATGTTTCTTCAAGTTCCTATCTAGATTTCAATCAATCATATATTCTAATTAAATATTAATTATCCAAACCAAATTGCAAATATATAGTCTTTAAATATACTTTATTATAGTATGGTGAAGGTTAATATTGAATTTCAAATTGACTGCTGCATTTGATTAAACAAGTATATCATTCATAGAAAATCAACAATATCTAGTTGACCAAAGGATCAATAATAAAACATATATCATTCAAACTTCTACTATCGAATTATCAATAAGATTATCAACATTAGCATAAATAAAGCTGATCGAATTGGAGATATTATAAGATTGATATGTAAACGTCTAAAATTTTGCTTTTGTGGTTGATCAAATTCCCGTTTTTTTGGCATACAGAACACAGTACACAAAATTGAATCGTATAATAATTGTATTGGGAAATGTACTCACAGCGGTTAATGATTTTGGTTATCTAATAGAAGGATTGAAGTAGACTAATAGGACTATAGATCAGAAGTTAAAGTAGTGATGTTATATATAATAGCGCTACAGAATCAGTTAAAACTAAAATGACAAATGATCTTTAAATATATAGATTGAATTGTAGTAGTAAACCAAAACAATATCTATAATCTGATCAACATTTATTGGGTTATATCTTAGTGATTAAGTATCAAATAAGATACTTTAATAACTAAATCAAAAACTAAAAGATAGTGCATGTCTGAGTTCACACTCAAAAAGATTTCACAATCAAATACTAGAGACGTCATGAACAAAACGTTATGTAACCTATTAGGAAATCCACAATATGAAAAAACTAATTACCATTCACAGAAAATATTAAGAACAACACTAATAGTGAACCTGTTGTGTAACAAACATTTTGCTCAATGTTTTTGTATCAAATTAAAAGAAGTTTAAATTTGAAATTTAAAATTTAAAATCGAAGAAATTTATAAATCACTGCTGTTTCTTAAAAAGGCAATGGTTATGAAGCGAGTGATTAGATGTGTTCCTAAAACTGATAATTGCCTGATTAGGTAGTTATCCTTTGGTTTTATTTAAGTACGTGATATTTTCTAATATTACAAAATCGTTAATAATAAAGGTATTTGGATGGGGAAAAAGAGTTGGAAGGTAAGTGATCATTTTATATTTGAATGGGAGGTCAAATTCACTAGGTTACGACCCCCTTCCTGTATTAAATCATCAATTTCCTATTGTTTCATGGTAGCTTAAAATTCTGATCTAAATTTTGCGCGATTTCTGTTTACACAATTTAATTTATAACGGAATTTGATATATGGTCTGATAACGTCTACGTTTTATAAGGTCAACATATCCAGATCAACTAATACAGAAGGGCCATTTATAGACAATCAGTAATACCACTGAACGAGTAACTTAGCTCAATGCTCAATAACTCAATCAAATTTTGGTTTTGGCTCTTAATTTTCCAATTTTCAATAGGAGTTATATCAACAGAGAATATTAATAATGATACATCAACTACGTCAATAACATCAAAACAATTTCAAATACCATTAACTTCACAATCATCAAAGTCTAAAGTACCCAAAGATGAAACTTTTCAGCCCAGAACAAATGATATTATAACTGATACTGATGTTCAAGAAGATCAAGCAACAAAATCAATACATATAGAATATGAAATTAGTGTATCAACTAATTCATTACAATCATTATCATCTAAAGAAATAAGTTATTCTTCAAGTGAATCTATAATATCACCAATATCAGAACCTATAATATCATCAAGCTCAGAAGTTGAATCAAATTTCATTTTAAGCTCATTAATTTCCAGTGAAACTTTATTAACCTCATCAACTTCTGAAGAATTATCAAAACCTACATTACTTAGTACAAATGTTTCAATACCCATAAACCTAGAAACAAATGAATCAATTGAAACAAATGAGACAAATCAATCAATTGAATCAAATGATTCAAATGCTTCATGGTCAGATACAACAAACAACAGTATAGAATTTCAAGAGGAAAATTCTGATAGATTTTTATCATTTGAAGAATGGAAAAAGAAAAAAGGTGTTGATTCAAATAATCAAAATGAATTAAAACCAGAATTAATACCCAATAGAGATTCAAAATTGATCCCCAAAGATTCAATTGGTGAAGAAATGGAAATTGATATTTCAAATTTTTTCAATTCAGAAAATCCAGAATCAACACAACAAGAAGAAATACCAGAACCTGAGGGAAAATTATACAAGAGTAAATTTAATTTTGCTTCATTTGATTGTGCTGCAACTATAGTTAAAACAAATTCTGAAGCTAAAAGTGCAACATCAATTTTATTTGAAAATAAAGAATCTTATCTATTAAATCCATGTTCTGCACAAAATAAATTTGTTGTTATTGAATTATGTCAAGATATCTTGGTTGATAGTATTGTTATTGGTAATTTCGAATTTTTCAGTTCAACTTTTAAAAAAATTCAAATATCTGTTAGTGAAACTTTTCCTGTATCATCACAATCTGGTTGGAAAATTTTAGGACAATTTGATGCAAAAGATATTAGAGATTTTCAAACTTTTAATATTAGCAATCCAATGATTTGGGCAAAATATTTTAGATTAGAAATATTAGATCATTATGGTTCTGAATTTTATTGTCCATTATCTATTGTTAGAGTTCATGGTAGAACAATGATGCAAGAATATAAACAAGAAGAAGCTTTACAAAAATCTAAAGTTGAACAATCAAAACAGGAAGTTATTCAAAAGAAACAAGATATTGATATAGTGGATTCATTAGATTCCAACAATATAACAAATCAAGATTGTATTTTAACAAATCAAACTGTTAATAGATCAATTAAAGATATTCAATCAAATTTAACAAATTTAACACAATATGAATTAAGTTATGATTGTCCCGTATCATTACCACAACTGAGTTTTGATTCATTATTTAATAATACTCAAAATGATTCAAAATGTGATCCAATTGATAATTCAAATAAAACTGTTTCATCAACCACCCAGACTCAAACTCATCATCAACAACAACCGACAACAGGGACCCAAGAATCTATTTATAAAAACATAATGAAAAGATTATCATTATTAGAATCAAATGCAACTTTATCAGTTTTATATATTGAAGAACAAAGTAAATTATTATCAACAGCTTTTGGAAATTTAGAAAAAAGACAAAGTTTAAAATTTGAAAATTTAATTGATAGTTTTAATTCATCAATATATTTACAATTAGAAAATTTATCCAAACTTTATAAATCTTTCCAAACTGAAACTGATGATTTATTAACTTTACAAAGATTAAAACATGAATCAATGTTATCTTATGCAAATCATAAAATTGATTCACTTTCATCAGATTTAAAATTTCAAAAAATTATAAGTTTTATAAATATGTTGATATTATTCCTTGTTTTAATTTATGTGATCTTAACAAGAGATACATATATTGAAGATCAACCATCAAGTCCATATAGAAATACCCCACAACATCAACATCAACAACCTGAAGATTGGGTTCAAATTTCTAAAAAAAGAATTACATCAACTGGTTCATTATTAAAAGCGAATTTGAAAAGAATATATAGTACAAATGGTGAGGTTCATTCACCAAAGAATCATGGTACATCAGATGAAGAATATGAAAATGATAGTACGACATCAACAACAACCTCAAATGAAAGGGGAAAAATTAATGGTAAAGAAGGTAAGAAACCATTAACACCTGATAATAGTGATGATGAAGAATAATATATATAGATTAATGAATAGTAATGTTTAATGAAAACAAAGTAGAACTACATATATTTATGCCAAAAAAGAATACATTAAAAACTTTAGCTATAAAATGATTAAACCAGATCATCTTAAAAACTCTATAGAAAAAACATTAAACAAATACACAAAGCATTAAACTTGAAGAAAGGAAAAAAAGACTCATAAACACATTAAAAAACCTTGAACATTTAGATCATATCACCATATTTAATTTATTTTGTGATCTTTGAGCTAATGGACTACTACCAGTTTCTTCATCATGATAATTTCTTGATCTTTTATTACCAACCCCAGAATTCCCTTGATGATCAGAATCAATATTTGATCTAATTTTAATAAAACTATTATTTCCTTGACTTTGTGAATACATTGAACTTTCAATTGGTGAAGTATTTGGAGTTGGATTTAATGAAGTTGAAGAAAAATTATGATATAAATGATGATCATTTGAAAAAATTGATGATATAGTGGATGATGCTGATGGTGGTGTTAATGGTGATTGGAATGTACCAAATGGTGGAGGGATTTGTAAATTTGTGAATTGTGAAGTTATTGGTGAGTTTAATGATGAGTTTGATTGATAATGATGATTGGCTTGTGATTGGGATTGTGATTGTGTTGAGAATCCAAGGAATAAATCAGTTATTGCAATTAATTGAGTTGGAATTTGATATTCTTCAATTGTTGGGATTGAAGTTGGGATTTGATTTGTGAAAATTTGATATTTTGAAAGGAATGATTGAACTAATTCAATTATATTAAAATCTTCAGTTTTATATTTATTAATTAAAGCTTGTGATAACGTCTTGAATGAATTTATTAATAATATAGTAATTTGACGAATTTGAATTATAGTTTCATCAGAAAATCCACTAAGGAAAGGTTTTATAACATTTGGATAAAGATTTTCTAAATTTTCATCAAAAGTTTCATCATCACTTAATTCATTTGCATAAAATTCATTAATTGATTTTTTAAAAGATTCTAAAGCAGAATTTGAATTCATTATATTACTTGCTAATAAATGTGATGTAATTGCAATTATTGAACTTGGGAATTGTAAATAATTACGTTCATATAATGAAACTTCACAGAAAAATCTTGTTAATTGAGTAATTTTTTCATATTGATCTGATGATGATATAAATTTATTCATTGTAAATTTTTTTGGAGTTGATGTAATAAAATTTAATGAATTTTTCAAAGAAATTTGTAAACAATCTTCTAATGAAGTATGAGTTAAATTCCATTCTAAAGTTGATAAAATATGTCTTTCCATTTGTACAAACATTTCTTGATCATAAACATTTCTACACATTATTGTTAATTCTTTTAAAGTTGGAACTCTTGATTTTTTATCTTCATATTTAGCAGCTAACCATAATGAAGTACAACCAACTAATTGATAATGTCTTTTGAAAACAACTCTCTTAGAGCAATATTTATCAATGATATTTATGGCTAAGAATAATGTTTGAGGATGTAATCTAAATGATTGATGAATTTCCACAATGAAATCTAATAAATAAGGTCTCATATACCATTGAATTTCTGGTTGTAAATCAATCATGGAACAATTAACAATGGAATTATTTTCAATTATTGATAAATAATTTGTTATATCTTGATCATATTCTTGAGTAGCTTTTTTATTTGCTTCAGTTTCTAATAATTCTAAAGTTGGATGATATTGACGAGGTTTTAATTGTTTTGGAGGACCTAATTTTTGTACTTTTGGAGTCCACATGATGGTATTATATTAAATGATATTATGATATATTAATAAAAGTTTGAAATAAACTTGATATGAAAGTTATAGATGGGTATTAAATGATTAAGATGATTAAAATAACTTTTTGAATCTATGAATTGAACATGTAAAACTTTTTTTGAGTATAAAAGAATGAACTTGTATAACGAATGAATGTGAATGAACTTGTGTTGTATATGAGTAAGAACTGATGTGTTAATAGTTTCCTTGTATATGATGGCTATCCAAGAATCAAAGCTCAAGTTGAATTTTGGGAAGTTAAAAGTATAAATATGAATATCAAATCTTTATGGACCTTTGAGAATTTGTTAGTATTCAAATGGACATAAACTTTTTTAAGTAAAGACGCGGTGAGTTTTTGAGCTTACTGCTTCATCAAGTAATCTGGTGAAAGGGCCTTTTAGGAAAATTGGGAGGAAACTTCAAATGCAAAGCGTTTCCAACTTTGTAACAGGTTTTGAAGACCGTGATTTTCCATGCATTGAAACAATTTTTGAAAAGTTTAGGTGTATAATTTAAATTTTTCGTGTCGCGCGCATATCTGATTTTTTATTTTCATTTTTTCCTGAGAAACGCGACGCTAGGCAGGGAGGAAATCTGAACTCCCAGCCTAGATCTCAACGGGAGCTGGGCAGATACTGAGCCTAAACTGGTAAATCTAGACAGAGATTTCCAAAGGGGGTCCATTTGACGCGGTTCACTGCAAAGAGACAAAAGGTTCTTTGGAAGGGGTCCCCAGCTCATCAGCGTGGAAGTTGTTCACTTTGTGCTTTACTGAAAGAAGAAAAAAGACTGTACTGTTTTAGAAGGATTGTCGCAGATTATGGTTTAGTGTATTAAGGCTCAAAAAGTTTAGGTTTACGTTGTGTATTTGATGCGATATTATAAACAGTAGTTCTTATTGTCTTGTAGACATTTCCATCTTTGAATCAAGAGATCAGAAGCTTTTACCTGTTTGAGCTGGGAGTAGCCCCATTTTCAATACACAGGACCTAGAAGCACAACAAATATTATCATTCTCCATTAAAACACACCACCATTTTGTTTACACGAACCACAATCTTCAAAATTCAAACCACAAAATGTAAAACTTGTTTGAAACGCGATCTTTGAATCGTGAAAAGTTTTGTTGAAAACACGCTTTAATGGTCTCCAATTGACACGAATGCAGTGACAGAGAGGTATAAGGGGATCTAGAAGGAGAATTGAAATATTTCATATACGGTGAAGAAAGTTAGAGCAAGAGAGCAAGTGCGCCAGTGTGCATTGGGTAAAGCCAAGGGTAAGTTATTGTTTCACCGTATCACTGGGTTCAATGTTGCCCCATAAAGCCATGTTCAATGCTCATTCTTGATGTTTTCTCTTACAGGAGATTGAACCTTTGATCGTGGTAGACTTAGGTCCTAATTGTTTCTACAGCTCGTTACGACAAGTTCTAAGAAAGTATAGTCGAATATTATGAAAATCGTTAATCAGTTAGCCTTATACAAGCCATACAACTTAGCGTAATAGTACCAACACAATCAATGATAAATCAAGATTCACGTACCTTTAACATCTATATCTTCGCGATGTTTATTATTTTTTTAGATCGCGTGTAAGATTGCTTAAATATGAAACATCGGCAGACATATACAAACCACAAATTACAATATACTTAACGTGTAACTTCTTTGGGTTAAACGTTGCAAAGTGACATGGTTCATTTTTAGAGTTTTACACATCATACATATAACCATTGGTAATAATCGTACCAGGAATCAATATTCCACCTAGATCCTTGAAATTATACTACCTTCGACGTTCACTTCATAAAGGATGTTTAAAAGTCAAATCTGAAGTATCACCAGGGATGATAAGATCCAAATACTCCAACTCACCCAACTCATTCAACTGTTTCAACTTTCTTGCTTTCCTTTTATTACTCCATACATATTGAAATCTTTGCAATACTATAATCACATTCAAACATACAAATAATACCAAAATTGCAATCCAACCTTTAGGATAATTTGGTGAATCATTTGCTCTAAATATTTGAGCTCCAGGGATAGCTGCTGCATTTGCACTCATGAAATATAAAGCTAATACAACAGATCTTCTTTGTGAAGTAATTTGATTCTCTGCAATCCATGCTGCATTGATATTATGCCATGATGGTGCTATTTGATATATGGTATAAAGGGCATAAAAACTCCATCTTTTATAAACTTGTGATTTGGTTTTGATGATGATTGCTAATATCCAAGACCATATGGAACCTATCAACATTGGTAATGAACGATCTTTGAATTTATCACTTATTGTTACCAAGACTAATGTTGTTATTAATCCACCAGCACCCCATGGAATTGCTAATAAGTTTGAATTTATGGTGCTAAACCCCAATTGCTTCAAGATTAGAGAACCATATGTTGTTGTTGGTTGGAATGCTGGTAATCCTGTTAATGCCATAAGGAAATGTGGATATATCCTCCAATCTTTCAAAGTTTCTTTGACATCACCAAAAGTTATTGATTTTGATCTTGATGATGTTTGGTCACTGTTGTTTATAGCTCTATCTTGAAGTTTCAATTGTGCTATAAAACATTCAGTCTCATCATTATTCAATAATTCACCAAACATTACAGTGCTACTTTCATCTATAGATTTAGGTAATAACAAAAATGAAATCAATCCAATGAAAATTGTGAAAATACCTTCAATCAACCATAACCATCTCCAACCTGGCCAATCATGATAACCTCTCATTTTTAAAATCCCACTAGCAATCAAAGGACCAAACATCCCAGCAAATCCATTCCCATAAAAATATAGTACAACTCTTTTCCCATATTCTTCTCTTGTGGTATATGAAGCTAAAAATGCCATTGAATTAGGTATGAATCCACTTTCACAAAGACCCAATAGGAACCTAGTCGCAAGAAATTGTTGCCTTGTCTTGATGAACGCTTGGAATGTTGATACTATCCCCCATAGTATAACTTGTAAAGGGATCCAATATTTAGCACCAATTTTAGATAAGATGATATTTGATGGAATATCACCAATACAAATCGCACCCCATAATATTGCAACAGCTGCATTTGTAACATTTTGAGTTATTTGAAGATCTTCAAGAAAATTATCTGTTAATACTTGAGATAAATTTGCTCGATCTAATGAAAAAACGAAAAATATTAAGGATAATGTTGGTAAGATTGTAAAATCTAGTTTTTTTAAAAGAGTTTGACGTGGGTATAATGATTCAGTTTGTGATAATTGATTTTTATCCTGTGAAATATTGAGATCTGAGTCTGAGTGGGTTATAGATCTTTCATCAATTGTGGGTTCCTTGACAATGTTAGACATGCTGAATTTGATACAATCCAGGAGTGTTAACCCTATGATTTCAACAGTGAATAGTAGACGGCTGTGATGTTATATAAATATAATCCTCAGTATTGATATATTGTTTGTCAAATCATATGGTTTTCAATAAAGGTAATTGAGCCTCAGTTATTTACTGTAACATGAATTTGATGACAAGCAACCAGGATAAGAATCTAATCATTAAAGTGGCGTAATTTCGACGCGTGTGTCTCTGAATTCATCCGCTTTTAGTTTTAGATTGTCTGGTTTTTTCAAAGTCTATTAACGTATTTTATATCATTATTGTTCATTTAACCGGTGAGGTTAAGCCACAATAGAGATCAAGGCAGAAGATCAATACAGTCATGATAACATCGAAGAGAGATATGGATGATAATAATCAAATGAATATAATAGGTTGTAAAGAAACGATCACGCCACAACTCTAGCTCTACTATCTCGTCTTTCGTGGTTCTTGGATCTTTCCAATATAAGAGCATCTTACCCCAGAATAAATCACACAAGAATCTACTTATTTATAGTACACCAACTAACATATCATAATGACAATAAACCCACTTCCAACTTATTTTATAGCACATGGTGGTGTTGGTGTTCTTGATCTTCCTCAAAAAGACCCTTATAGACTACAGCTTCTTTCTATAGGTGATGAAATCAAGTCTCTTAATCCAAAGGGTATAATTGCAACATCTGGTCATTTTGAAAGTCCTTATCAAGAAACAATTCAAGTTAACATTAAAGAAGATCTTGATGTCCTATATGATTATTTTTTCAAACACGATGACCCTAAAAGATATCAATTGAAGTTTAAACATTTTGGTGATAAAGCTATTGCTGGTGATGTTGTTTCGGTATTGAAAGATAAAGGTATACCAGTAGAAACTGTTGAAAAGGACACAGATCATGGGATTTGGGTGGCATTGAAGCTTTTATTCCCAGAAGAACAAAGTGAATTAAAAATCCCTGTTATTAGTGTCTCGACATTCAAACCATCAACTTTCAAAAAACAGGTCGAATTAGGTGAAGCATTAAGTTCATTAAGGAATGAAGGTTTTGTATTGATACATTTTGGAATGCCTGTTCATAATATTTATGTTGGTGATAGAAATCAATCGAAACGTGTTGTCGATTCTTTAAGAAATGATAGTTATGATCCTGTGATACAAATCACAAACCCAAACTATTCAGAGGATTTCACAAAGGAATTAGAGATATTGAATACTATTAAGGATTATGAAGAGAAAAAGAAAGCAGTAATCAGGCTTGAAAATGATAAAGAGTCAAATATATATCAAGCGCATCCAACATTGGAGCATTTCACTCCATTCTTGGCTTATATAGGATCTTCATTGAGATCTGATAGCGGGTATAATTACAAAAGAACAAAGATCACATCAAACATGAGTTTCTCAAACTTTAAACTTGAATCAATTTGAATAATATAATATACATGCACTTATTTCTCCTTTTCATCTTTCAACTCGGCTGATATTTGTTCATTAACTTCTGTAACATCAAGTAATCTATTTTGATTCTTAACAAATCTTGCAACATAATAAGTAATTGGAATTTGTAAAACACCCAATATCAACGAGACAATATAAGCAGCTCTATAGAACGGATATTGACTTGAAGTACTCCAAAGTACAATAGTTGCCCAGATTAAATTTGCAATAGCAGAAGCTTGTGCAATACCTAATGTAAATTTAGCTTCAAATTCTGAACGTCTAAGAAATTCTTGAGTCCAACTAATGAAAATTGGTCCATATGCCCAACTAACACCACTAATCAAATAACCAAACCAGACACAACCTTCAGAAGGTGTAATCAACAGGAAAACACAAGAGACAGCGTTGAAGATCAAAGCAATTTGTAATACCAAATGACGACCTTTATAATCTGCAAGCCAACCAAGAATTATATTACCAATCAATGCAACACCTTGAGCAGAAGTTGGAATGTTGTTAATTTGACTGATGGAATAACGTTCTAATGATTGGATATACAATGTGAAATAACCTGTTGCATTGGTGAAAATCATATAACTAGTGTATGTGAAAACAATAACATAAAATGGCCAATCCAATAACATTGTTTTGATTTCTGATAGTTTAAATCCATGAAATTGAACTCTACTTTTAACAAATCTTCCTTTAGCCACTGTTTTATTTTCATCATTTAACCAAATAGACCAACAATTTGGTTTATAAGGTGTATTTGGAATTGCAATAAGACCCCATAATGCCAAAGGTAATGTAATTGACCCACAAACAATGAATAACCATTGCCACCCAGCACGACCACTAACACCATCTAAATTTTCATAAACTGCACTCTGTAAATAACCAGAAAACATTGAACTAATATTTGATGCACTATATAAAATACATGCTCTTTTAGCTAATTCCTTTTCTGTATAGAAATTTGCAAAAAGGGATAATGCACCAATATAGAAAGGTGATTCAAATAACCCTAGGAAGAATCTAATACAATAAACTTGATTCAAATTTTTTGCAGAAGCTGTTCCAAATGTTAAAACTGCCCAAATGATTTCAATTACAGGGAACCAAACATTTGGTTGGATTTTCAACATCAATACTTGAGAGGGAATGATTCCAACAACATAACCAGCTTGCCATATTGAAAGAGCATAGTTATAATCATCACCAGTCATATTCAAAGCTTGTTTCATACCAGAAACATATGCATTTGTGAAATTTGATTGATCTAAATGACGAATAAAATATCCATAACAACCCCATGTAAGTAAGAAAAAATCTAATTTTGTTACAAGTCTCTTTTCAGGTTCTGGTTTTGGACCATCCCATATAGTTTCTTTGAATTTTTGCCATTTAGTCCTGGTATCTGGTGTTAATGTATCACTTTGAGTATCACCTTTAGATTGGGTATCAATTTCAATTTGATCCTTGGTTGACATTTTGAAACCTTGAATGGAAACTTTCAGCTATTGAATTCGATCTCACCATTAAAACTGTATAGACGATGAGAATTTGTGACACTACTGAACTTTTAAGTAGTCTTTGAAGATCACCATGGCTTTAGCTATTCCAACGGTTTTTTTGTAATTCTTAATTGTCCACATATATGGCCATGATGCCACAATAATGATTTTTTGAAAATCTCAGACTCTTTATTCTGCAGTTGAGTTCTGGGCTCTGGAGCTGAGTTCTTGATTAGCAACCAGCTTAGATGATATCAGGTGTTTACCGTTTTAAAAGAAGCATTATCTTCAATAGTTGTTGTCATCAAATCTCAGGGGTTGTTGTTTTAATTGTCGTGGTCGTGGTGATGTTTTTGGGTCGCGAGAAATTGTTAGTATAACTGAGGCTTTCGAAACTTTATGGTTTGAATAGATTTCTTTCAACGAGATTGCTCAAGAACGTTGAGATTACAATGTGATTTGGTTAGAAACAAGCTTTCGATAGTTGGTGGAGATTACTTGATATAGACAAGCTTTAAACCGGCTGAATGATTCAAAAAATAAACGGATGTGTTGTATTCTTGTGTTGTTATTGTCAATGCACTGTGAATTAATGAAATATGCCACAATCATAAAGAGTCAATTAACCTTATTAGCATCGGGAAAGAATAGAAATACGAATATCAGTCCTAAATTTATCAACTCCTTGAAGGTTCATGTATTGGTATAAATATGTTGTTTGCTTGATATTTTCAGTTCTCAAGTTTTTTTGGCACATAGAAACAGAAGATCAAAGATGAGCACCGTTGATACTTATAGATATTATTCAGATTCACCAGGAACATTGTTGTCTGGAGATGAATGGGAAAAATTAAATGAATCCCATAACCCTGATCCAAATGTATCATTACCAGAAGGATGGCCTCAAAAGCTTGAAGGTCCACTAGTATGGACTGCTGAAGAATTACACAAAGATCCAGAATCATATTTATATATCCTTTCAGAATCTGATTTGAAAGAGATTGATGTTGCTATCAAAAATTATGACTCACCCCTTGATAAAGTTAATAAAGATACTTTTTCATTACCAACATTAGGGCCAAAACTTGAAGAATTTTCATACAAGCTATATTTCGGTAACGGTGTTCATATAATCAGGGGATTCCCAAGGTCAAAGTATGATGAACGTCAATCAGCTATTGCGTTTTTAGGTGTTTCATCATATATTGGAGACTTAAGGGATGCACAAGGTTTGAATAGAGCACTTACACATATTAAAAGTATTGCTCATATTCCACGGAGTGAGAGGGCACCAATTGGAGTTTCTCAACAAACTACTGATCCACAAATGTTTCATAATGATTTTGGTGGTGATGTTGTTTCATTATTTGTCAATGAAGTCCCTAAACAAGGTGGTGAATCACTAGTGACTAGTGGGTATACTGTTTATAATGAACTGGCTGCTAAGAGGCCTGATTTATTGAATGTTTTAGCTAAACCGAATGCGTTCAAATTTAGAGGATCACCTGAAGATGGATCTTCATTAATTCATTACGTTGATGGAAGGTTTTTCACACAATTTTCAACCAGATATTTTATTGGATTTGGTGAGTTAGAAAGAGATACTTCAATTCCTGAACTCACAGAAGAACAAAAAGATGCATTTGGTGCATATCATTGGATAGGATTCCAAAATGCTTTAGTTCATAAATTACAAAAAGGTGATATTGAATATGTAAATAACCTATTCTTACAACATTCTAGACTGGGGTATGAAGAAGATATTACTCAGGGAAGACATGTATCCAGATTATGGTTAAGAAACTCCAAATATTCAGCTCAGATCAAGAAACCAAAAGTTACGCAGGATAAATATGATGCATTTTTCCCTGAAAAGTATGAGCAGAAAATCCCATTGAATGAGATAGAAGAAGATGCGATTAAACTAGAAGCTGGTGCAGATTCTCTTGATAAGGTATATTCCAAGCCAAAGTAGAATAAGACGCTTAATTTGGACACAAATATTGGTTTTCACTGTTTTGTAGGTAACTCATTATACTGCTTAGTAAGAATCATATAAATTCGCGAAGTTATATGAACTTCATCAACCGCCAAAAAGTTGATCTTGAAACCAATATTTCAACTTTAAAGCTCAACTCAGATCTCATATCCCAACTCTCAGTATGGTCAAACCAAGAAGCACAGAGTCGAAATTTGTCAGAACAGTCCAAGCTCAGTTACTAGGGGATAAACAGGATTATTTGATCACAGCATATACGCATGATCTTGAAATCAACAAAATTTTAGAAGATGGGAAAATCCAATTAGTACGAAGAATTAGAGTCAATGAAGGTGCTATTACAGATATTACTCCAGTGAAAACAGGTTGTGGTAAATATAGAGCTTGGTTGATCATTGCTTTCAATGAAACTCGTTTACAATTCCGTGCTTTCAAAACTATTGATGATGATTTCATAGTTGATGATTTCCCAATGAAATTTCGTGGTACGATTCACCATCTTATTCCAGGTTCATTAAAAGAAGATTCACATCATTATTTCTTTACTTGTTTTGCTAAAGAAGGTTGTGTTTTCATATTCCGTCAAATTGGTAGAGGTTTTGCTAAAATGCAAGCACATCCAAATTTCAAAACAGTTATGAAGACTAAAGATTCAACAGGTTTGAAATTTTTCATAAGACCTGAAATATGGACATATAGTATGTTCTTGTATGATAATGGTTATGATATTCTCACATTTGATATAGCACCATCAGATGAAAGTGCATTTGTGTTCTCATTGGTTAGAAGGAATGGAATGGGTCAATATTTTTACTCAAATCCGATGTGGAAAGAAAAGATGTATGAATCATATATTGATAATTGTTATGATGATCCAGTATTGGAACCTGTTGCTCCAATATCTACAGTGTTAAACTGGGAATGCTCTTTACTATTCAGTAAAACTTCAATTTATCTAAGAGGTTCACCTTATAATCTTGGGGTAGATCAAAATTTTGATATAAATTCTATTAAGCTTCCAGAAAATGTCGAAATGGAGTTTCATGGTGCTGAGCATATCGAAGGGTCATTTTATAGATTTGTGTTTTCCAATAGGGAATTTGATGTTATTGCTACAGCTCCATACCTAGATAAAACTTTAATTATTGAAAGAAATGGTGATTTGAGTTTATTAACATTGAAAATGGAAACTGACAGGGGATTTGATGGTGCAAAAGTTGAAGAATTGTCACTTTCTAAAATTGAAGGTTCATTACCATCTAATATCCAGTTTTTAATGCAATTGAAATCAAATGTTTATATAACAAGATTGGAAAATTCAACTACATTAATTTTTAAAATTGATAATAATAAATTGGAAATTATTCAAGAATTAATTGATAACACTATTATGATTGATGGTGAATTTTATAAAAGAGAATTACCAGAATATAAATTCCATTCAGTCAGAAATCCAGATGGGAAATCTGAATATATTGCTATAGAGAACAAGACTGGGAATGTTTTCATACTTAACAAATTCGAAGTTGAAACTGATCATTTTGATAAAAGATTCAAACGTGTATTGGACTATAAAATCATTAATGATCAAGTCTGGGTATTACAAAAAAATAAATTAATTCAAAATGCTGAAAGTGAATCACCAATAAAAACAAAATTGGACGTCATACAAGGGAAAATCTTGGATAATGGTGAGATTACAACTTTATCAAATGGTTTAATTAAAACTGGAGATAATGAATATAAAGTTTCATCATCTTCAATCTCAGTCATTGATTCTTTAAGATTTAATGGTGTAACATATGTCGTTTCTGGTCATTGGGATGGTTCAATTACAATTTATTCACCAACAAGTGTTATTAAACAACAATTCTCCATAATGTTTGTAACAGATATAAGATTATTAGAAGCAAATGGGAAACTTTACATCATTGTTGGATCTCATAAAGGTGAAGTTGGTATTTTTGATGATTCAGGTCGTATTGATTATATATTCATAGGTGAAGAACCAGTTGTAATATCACCTGCTAAAAATAATAAAGTCATTGCTAGTACTGTTGGAAATGCATTAGAAATTGAATTTAATGAAAATGGATTGAAAAAGACTTATTTGGATATTCTGTATGAATCGTTTTTGAATCGTTCTGCTGAAGGACATGCCTATGCTGAAGGTGATGATTCTGGAGTTGTTGGGTTTGATGGGATAACTCATGAAATTCAATTGTATAAAGAAGATAGAATTCAAAGATTTGACTTGGTATAATTTAAATATTGACATAAATTTGATTGAATCATTTTAAGATATTGTAAATTGTATATTGTGTTAATATTGCGTGTCCTACTCAAGATTATTCTTTTTTTTTTTTTTTTTTTTCTTATAAAAATTTTCTAGCTGCTTGTATTCGACTAACTTCTTAATAATGTCAAGACGTTAGCAACTTCTTCTGCAGTTTTTGTGTTCTAATGGAACGCCCATGAAAAACCTACTAAAATGGTCTCGTATGTGCAGGATCCATTTTAAATTTATGGTAATTCTGCGGAATACCCTCTCACATCAACAGGATTTAAAAGACTTATCCGAAGTAAAAGCATCAAATGTATTACATTCAATCGGCCAAATTGCATAAGAATGAATTTGAGAATAATCAGTTTTGTACTTAACAGGCATCTCTTTTGTTTTATATTCAAATTAAGATTTTGACGTGGATGTCAATATTTTATTTTGGTTTAAAAAAAAGGTTATATTTTAGCTTCAAACATTCTTTATAAAGATGCTTCAATTGTTACTGGTTCCTGGTTATTTGGAATAGGTACTTGAGCTTAATATATATAAAGATTATTATTTTTCATATTAAAAAGAATTGATACTTGACGTAGAAGAATCCAAGCTATACAGAATTATATAAATTTGATTATTTGATGATAGATTCTGTGGGCTACGCTGATATTATTCCTCATTTGTCATGAGGAAGTAAAATTAAATAACTCTGCAAAAGGTTGAGCTATAACCATATAATCAAATCGAATTTAACCATGAGCTGCTTAGCGATACATGTTGAATTGACTCTTTTTTGATATAGTCTAAATAAATTTTCAGAATAGCTACAACACAATGTTTTTATTGAAAAGAACGATAATCTTTATGTATTAGAGCCCACGTACCTATCTTCTGTTAAAAGACCAGCAACAATTCAGACTCTCTCTATAAAGATGTGATTATATATCAAAGATTCTTAAACGATTTTGATGATATTTGATGAACAGATACCTCCGTTAAAATTTTCATTTGAATTTCTAATGAATATTATAATTTCTTTTGGAGATACTTCAACTTTCAGACGTCGTCTGAATTATTTCTTCAAGTTGAGTGAACTTGAAGCTCTCATAAACACATATGCAAGGATATAAGTACCAGGGAATAACTACCCCAAATGGATATCTTGTAAGCTGTAGTTAATAAAAACTTTAAAAATTACATTACTAGTTTAATAAGTTCTTAATTTTTTTTTCACTAGTATGCAGGCCGAAAATTTTAACTAGATGACATAATCATTATATTATACGTATATATTTTTACGTATATTAATTAGGCAACTAGTAAATCAGCAAATTTGACAACTATATTTTACCAACCAAATGGATATCAAATGTATATTTTGATCGAATAGTATCACTGCTTGCTTGTAAAGTATTAAATGAGATACACGCATATTTTTGACCAACAATATATGGTTTAAAAGCTAATGAAAATCCTGGCGTGTCGATTAATAGTCACAAACTGTACTCATATATGATAATTGTATAGGTTATGGATTATATTATAGGTTTAATAATAAATGATGATACGCTAGAGGGATTATATTAATACTGAAGCGTCTTATGGATATTGTTTCTTTTTAATAACTGAATATCTAGCATGTAAATCAAACACACTTTAACTAGTATAAGATTAATAATACACAATGTTTCTAATATCATTGCCATGTAACAACGAAGTTGTAATAAGAAGACAATATATATAATCAGCTACGACGTGAAAAAACCCCATATATGATTGATATGTTGAAATAACAACGTTCATTGTATTAAAATTGAAAAACGACAAACCCCAATCATCACGATTTCAGTACCTATCTAAGTTCAAAAGAGCCAGTAACATGAATAACATGTGATTGAGTTATAATTAACAACATAGCTAAGTTAGTCTATAAATGAAAAGCTAATTCACATTAAAACAACTTTTCATGTCATGAAAAAATCCTTGTGTACTCGTGCGCTATTAAATATTGTAGATTAACAACAAGCATCTATAAAACACAAAGGACCCAATATACATTAAGTATATAGAATAAAAGAAAAAGAAACCCGGCCAGGAAAGCCTAATTTTGAGAACAAAGCTTAAAGAATAAATGTACAACGCGTATAATAGGCTGCTTTTCATACCATAATGAGAATATCTATAATATTGTACAAGTTTTCAATTGTTCAATGAATTGAAAATTATTGTAAAATTTTGCACTACAAGAGTGGACTTAACAAGTCCATCCTAAAAGTTATAATGATACACTGAACTCAATATGTTTTATAACTAAACGTCATTCAAATATTACTACAATCTAACACTCATTTGGTGAAAAAAATAATTGAATCTTTATGTATTTGAACTTGAACGTACCTATCTTTTTTTCCAGAAGACCAGTAACAATAATAGTTCATCTATAAAGATGATTAATATTTCAAAGAACTTTATTTGAACTTGATAATATTTCATAAAAGATATTTCTTGTGAATGATAACCTTTGAGATACCTTCAACAATCAGATGTATACTTTCAATATCCGAAGGTGCTTGAAGTACCATGGAATAAATTTCAAAGTATACTATACTTTGCAAACAAGTATGTTATTTTGATCAAAAAAAACAATTGTTAGGAAAAACATAGACGTTAGTGCCCTGGCTTTGCAAAAGTACAAATGTTTATCTAAAGGATACTAAAATTGATCAATATGAAGAATCAAAAGTAAAAATTTTCAAATTATTATGAAAAAATATTCGAGAACTGTATAGTTCGCGAAACCGATACGCATATAATTTACACTCTGTAATAATTTATAATTTACTATAGCATCAAATTATATTCTGAGTCGACTGACCGTCAAAATTACAATAGCGAGTACTTAACAATGAAAAGCACAAGATAGATATAATAACATTCGCTTTAATTAACTTAAATTAAATAATCAAGCAGAGTAATTGAAATCTACACGCGTCGATATTCGATTGATATGCTGCCTAAACGTATTCTGCAAAATTGTAGCCAAAATTATATAATATATTATAACAGGATCATAAATTGTCCTTTTTAATAACTTAACTAATATATAATATTTTATTAAAGTTAACTACGTTTTTTTTGATATGATCATTACTTGAATTAGCTCTATAACTACGACAAATACATCAAATACTTGGTAGAAAAGAAAGATAATCTTCATGTATTAGAGCCCACGTACCTATCTTCATTCAAGGTGACCAGTAACAATGCAAACTCTCTCTATAAAGATGATTTATATATCTCAATTCTTATATGATCTTGATGATATTTGATGAATAGATATCCCCGTTAAAAATCTTCATTTGTTGAATTATGAAGATTGATAATCCCTTTGAGATACTCCAACTGTATCTCTGAACTAATTCAAAGGTTAATGTACTCTGTATATAAACATATTTATGGATGTATCTCAAAAACCATTTCTAACATTGGTTTCCTTAAGATAGAAATCAATAAAATAGAACACATCGTTGTCAAGTAAAAAAACCATAGCCACTGAACACTGAACATTGAACAAAGTTGAACAAAGTTGAACACTGAAAATTTATATTATAAAAAAATTTATTCGAATGACATAAGCATTATATAATCAGATAGCAGCTGTACGTATTTTCAACAATTCCTTATCATTTAAATTTTGACAACTAAACATTAATTTATATTATAAATATGAAAGATGATTGATCCAAGACTAGTACTTTAACGTACATGTTATTTTTTGTGTGTATAATACGTCTCAAAATCATATAGCTAAACCCATTGCATTTAAATAAATTACTTCAAAATTTACACAATTTCAAACCAACACAAGCATATCTACACAAAAAATAAGATATTATACCACCAACATTCAACATCCCCGCATAAATAATCATCTTATTATAACGATCAATAGATCCATCACCAATAACAGCACCACCTATAGGGATACAAATAAGCATCACCAATGCGACAATTAAATACATTGTACTAAATCTTTTACCAAATTGATCAGTTCTTGATATTTGACCACAACATACTGGTGATAGGGATAATATTGAACCTGAACAGAATCCGTATAGTGCAGCATATGAATAAAGGATTTTTAAGTTATAACCAAATGGAAGCCATAAAATAAAACTTACTAATAAACAACCAATTAATGTTAATATGACAACGTTAAATCTACCTAGGAATTTATCTGCCATATAACCTGGAATATAACGACCTAAAACACCCGTTGTATTAACAATTGTGATTAATAAATATGATGTGTTTTCACTAAACCCTCTTTTAATTGCATATGAAGGGAAGTTAATGATTATAACCATAAGTGAAGATTCTGATAATGCAACAGCTAATGTACAAAATGCAAATTTTGCTTCTAATAATGATTTATAATCAAAGATATCCAATAAATAGATCTTTATGAATTTTCGAAGTTTTGAGGATCTTGTTTGTGTCCCTTCTTCTTCATCATCAATTTTATTTGATAATCTTTCCTTAACAAGTGTTAAAGAAAATGCAAAACAAAATAAACATATAAATGATAAGATTCTTAAAGCCCATTTAAATCCAACTTTAGGATATAAAGCTCTTAAGATCAAAGGAAAAACAATACCACCTATAGAACCACCAGTAGTTGCACAACTAATCGCTGTAGCTCTATTTTTTTTAAAATAATGAGATACAACACCAACAAGAGGACTCATCATCATTCCTAACCCCAGACCATTAACAACCCCAAATGCTAAAACGAATTGATAAACATTTTTAGCATTCCCAGTGGCAAATAATCCTGCAGAAAATAAAACAGCACCTATTGACATTGGAGCTCTTGCACCATTTCTATCGAAAAATGAACCAGAAAAAACTCCAGAACTAAAAGCAATAAACACATTAATGGAGAAAATCCATGATACTGCACTTGCCCCGACATTAGCTAATTGATGTGAAGAAACATATGCTTCAATTGCACCTGCTGAATTAACCATTCCAAAAACTGGGACAAGACCCATAAATGAACCGAAAACAACTAGATTAGCCTTTAATCCACCTTCAGGGAATTCTAAGTCTTCATCTAATAGTGAAACAGTACTTTCAAATTCATGAATAGTTGGTTGTGATTCTGTTAGGCCTCTATCATTTGAATGAGTTTCTGTATTTCTTGTATGTAAAGTAAATCCTGAACCTTTTGCAATATTATTATTGGTTTGATGTGATGTTCCAGTAAGGTTTGTTAATTCGATAGTTGTTTCTTGACCATCATCATCTTTCTTCAAAGCTTTTGGAACTGGTGATATATCAGTCATCTTTGAGTATCACAGGTATTGATGACTACTTAATGAATTAAATGTGATGAAAGAAAGGATCTTTGAAAGATTTATTGAGATCACTGATAAAGGGAAAATAGTTATCAATGGTTATGAGTTATGAGTCAATGGTCGACCGTTATTAGGTGACGGCTTTAAATCACTTTTGAGGGTTGTTAATCCGAGTTAGAAGGTAACGACGAAGGTAATATAGGCCATCTGAACATCTATGATCTGAACTACAATATTATTCTAGTATTTGAAAACTATTACAACATGGTTTTGATGGATCTTATAAAAGAATCGTTTAATATTAACCTTTCCATGTATAGACGATCTACGACTTGAACAAATATTGTAATTTGTTGAGATAACAACGTTTTATTAAAATTGAAAAACGATAAACCCAATCATCATGATATCAGCTGTACCTATCTAACTTGAAACCAGTAACATGAATAACATGTGATCGAGTTATAATTAGCAACATAGGTAAGTCAGTATAATATGGAGTGTATTTCATATTATAAAAAAACACATCAATTCTTTGTTATGATAAAAACTTTATACTCACAATTATACATCATGTAGATAAACATCTTAATTATCTAGCGGAAGAAAGAGCTGTATCCAATAAAAATTAGTTAGTACAGGAATGATGACAGCTTTGACTATAGAATGCCAGAGTTTCAATCCACACCATTAATATTAATAAGGAAGCTGGAAATTTCAGATCTGATAAAGAATTAATTAAAATACAAACTTGAATTATCAAATTAACAACGAATGAAGCCATAAACATTGTCGTAAAAAACTGAGTGTAAACCCACTGAACATTCAGAATTCAATGAATGAATCTATTCTTCTAGTATTATCCTTCGAGATCAATTAAATGTGATAAATTGAAAATTGAATTATAAAATTTTGCGCTTTGAGAGTGGGCTTAACAAGTTTATCTTTAGTATAGTGCTAGTAATTCACTTTTAACAGCTTATCAATGACCATTATGCTATCATGATTTATAGACTGTCTTATAGAACACTATACTATACCCACTTTATGTCAACCATCTCAACTGCCAGTTCAGTGTTCATCGATAATGACTCTACTCCAATGAAACACAGCTCAATTATTGAAAAAATGCTTAAATCTTTATGTATTGAACTTACGTACCTATCTTCTTTTTAAAAAAGACCAGTAACAATATATAGTTCATCTATAAAGATAGTCAATATTTCAAAGAACTTTATAAGAACTTGATAATATTTGATGAAAGATATTCTCTTGAATGATCATTGATGTATCATCATGAATGTAATTGATTATCTTTGAGATATCTTCAGCAATAAATAATTTACAAGAAGAGATGTATAACGCAAAAGATTCCAAACATGGAGTAAAGTTCCATTCAATTGTACTACCTAACGGATTTATCTTCATAACACTCTAGTGATATTGTTTAAAGAAATGGTAAAGAGAAAAGAAGGTAAAATTTTTCAACTTTTTAATAATTATGAAAATAACTACTGCTGATGTAATCAATGTGTAATCAGTACATAAAATTAAACACAACCACAAGTGACAACAGAATTAATTGTAAGTCTCGCCAGTATTTTTATTCCTATGTAATCATACCACATAACTTATAAACACCACACAATTCTAGTAAATTCTTTAAAAAGACCCTGAACAATCATCGGTCATTACCGCAGTTTGAGTATAACGGAATCCCAGTTCCATCGCGCAACTTTTCTTTTTCCCACCGTTTAAAATTTTTTTTCTTTGCGCGATTCAATTCAACCGTTTGACATTTAAAATTATGGCTTAATGGTATAGACATGAACAACTTGAATATTGGATTATCAAGGGGTATAAGATCATTTATTCAATAGATTTTTAGATCAATTGAATCTCTGATGACTCATCATGATGACTATAACTTTGCTATCTTAAAAACTAATTGGATTGACATGATATTATCCACTTACAAAAATGCTTCTATACCGTATAGGTATATGTGTCGCTCATTCATACTGTATACTGCAGAAGGCATCAACTCAGAGTCATTTTGTTAAATTAACAAAATCATATATAAAACTAGTCATCTTTCCACTATTTCAAGTCTTTATACTATCTTATAATTGACTACACCATACATACAATTAAACTATAGGTATGACACACAATGATTTCACTCCTACTCAATCACCATTAGAAACTTCCAAAACAGTAGTTGACTCACAAAATGATTATTTTGATCCAAGAAATATAAATGATATAATCACTAATCCAAATGTTGGTTCAAGTTCAAGAAACATAATTAATGAAGATGATGATTTGAATTCACAATCTGGCCATAAATCCAAAAAACATAATGATATAAATGAACATGATATTGAATTACAATCAATTTCATCAAATGATACAGTTAGAAACCAATCACCAAATACTCAAGATGATAAAAATGATTCTAAAGAAGCAATGTTTGCCAATGATGATATTGATTATCCTGAAGGTGGTCTCCAGGCTTACTTAGTGGTATTTGGTGTATTTATGGGTCTTACACCAACTTTTGGTATATTAAACACATTAGGTGCTATTGAAACTTATATTTCAGAAAATCAATTAAATGATATTCCATCATCAACAACATCATGGGTTTTTTCAGTTTTCCTTTTTGTTAATTTTACAAGTTGTATCTTTTCAGGTACATTTTTCGATAGAAATGGTGCAAGAATTCCATTGATTGTTGGTACTTTATTATTCTGTGGTGGTCTTTTCGCTACTGCAAATTGTAAAACAGTTTGGCAATTCATCCTTGCATTTGGTGTGCTTTGTGGATTTGGTAATGGTACAACTTTATCTCCATTAGTTTCAGTGGTTCCACATTATTTCAATAAGAGACGTGGATTATTTATTAGTATTGCATCTACGGGGGGTTCTGCAGGTGGTATTATCTTCCCCATCATGTTAAGAAAATTATATGATACCGTTGGGTTTGCATGGGGGATGAGAATTTTTGGATTTGTTTGTTTAGCATGTCATTCAATTGGTATAGCATTTGCTCGTGAAAGATTACCACATCAAAAATCCAACAAAACAACTCTACAAAAAATCTTAAGTTATACATATGCATTTGATATTAATTCATTTAAAGAATGGAAATTTGTATTTGTTGTACTTGGTTGTACATTTGCTGAAGTTTCAGTTACTACAACGGCAACTTATTATACATCATATACAAGAGTCCAAGGAACATCATTATCAACAGCATATTTATTAACAACTTTGGTTAATGTTGGTGGTATTCCAGGTCGTTGGATAACTGGTTATTTATCTGATAAAATTGGTAGATTTAACGTTATGATTTTCACATTAACATTTACATTCACTGTTGTATTAGTCATTTTATTACCATTTGGTCATCATCAAGGTGCATTATATGCATTCTCACTTATATGGGGGTTTGCCACAGGATCAATTTTTTCATTATTATCAGTTTGTTGTGGACAAGTTTCCAAGACTGAAGATTTTGGTAAAAGATATAGTACAATGTATTTTATTGTTGCATTTGGTACAATGGCTTCAATCCCAATTGGAGGTGCTATAATTGGTGATCGTTCTGTAGCTAGTTTTAATCATTTTATGATTTTTAGTGCTTTAACTGCTTTGGCTGCTGCTATTTTTTATTCTATTGGGAAATTTGTTTGTGTTGGGTTTGGTTTAAAGACAAAGTTTTAATTTTGGTGAAGCTTTTGTTTATACGTACTATAAGTTATTTTTGGGGTATCAAAAGTTGTTTTAATAGATTTTAATAATTAATATATAATATAGAACATTAATATTTAGCGCTGTCGTATGTAAATTTATTTGGAGTCAAAGGATTGACTGCTTTAATCTAGACTCAATAGATTTTGAGAATTGGATTCAATTAACCTTTGAACTATTTTTCCAAAGATTATATCAAAGTAGATAATAATATCACATTAAGGAAAGTCAGATATTTGGATTGACAGCCAATCTTAATATCTACTCAACTACATTTTTCATATAGTCTGTATTATAAGGAAAAATAATAAATCATCATATTGATATCAGTACCTATCTCTATATATTTGGACCAGTAACATGATTATCAACTCAGATGACTTTGTATATGGTGATTACCTAGTCGATCAACCCAATTTCATTCAAACGATATGCTTGGAATGTTAAAGGTTGAAATAAAGTAGAATTGAACATTCATGAAATGGAGATTTTTATTGACTTTACCAGAAATAAGAGACAGAATCCTATTTAGTCCATTGCGTCACAGACAAACTTTTGCACTATACCATATCCTTGTTAGTAAAGATTCTTAATCAACACGTCATGATCAACATGATTAAATTGACTTATGAAATTAAACATGAATGAAGTCAAGATTCATATCTGACCCCTTAACTTACTAGTGATGTACGCTGGAACTTCGAGGAACACTATAACTATAACATGATAAGGGTGATAAATTCAACTCATTTGAAGAGTGCAGGGAAAATATTTTTCATATTCTTCGACATCAAAAATCTAATGGTGTAGTAACCTGATGAGTTGTAACTTGTAAGTGGTAACGACTATTTAATACTAATTAAATTACTTTTTTTTGCCCTGTGTATCGTGTATGTACCAAGTATGAAACATCTGATACAAAAAAAATTATATTAGAAAACATATAAACTGAATGTACTTTTGATAACTGATGTCTTCATTAACCTTTGGGATTTCTTTGTACAGACATGTGTTTAGTACCTGGTGTCTTGCTATTACAATATACCGGTTTCTTTTTGTTGAAACAGTTCCGTTTTTTTGTGGCCGACATTTTTACAATAGTTGCATTTTAAGACTTTTACTGTTTGAACTTCATCATACATTTATCAAAGTTATACAAATATTCCATTCATTCATCTCAATAATAATCATGGATAATCTAAAGAGATTTTGATGATGAGAACAGATAATGAGTATAACTATTTGAATAGACATAAAATGGATTTCAAAAAAAAGTATAATTGTTACTGGTCCAAAAGTTAATGCTGGGTATAAAAACCTGATGTTTGTTTAAGGATAGGTACTTAACTTTTCGATGAAATCTTTCATATCTTTGATTTAATGTTGAAGACTGGAATTTGTAGTATTGTAAACTCGACTGTTACTCTCTGTCTGAAGTCCAATTATGAGATGCACAGCTAAATTAAGTCTATAAATTCATAAATTCTAATACTGTGTTAATACAAGTATAAGTCAAGCTCTGTGAGATTTCTACGATAGAATTACCCAGATAACAACATGAAGTATTCTAATATTCAATATATCAAGTAAAATTGAAAATTGATTACAATTTTTGCGCATCCAAATTATATCATTACGTCGTTAACAAAACTTGAGCAACATTAATTAATGTGAGCAAATTTTACAATTAGCAGTACATGATTAATCTACTATATTGTGCATTGACTACAAGTCTTCATATGGTAAAACATAATTAATCATCATATTGATATCAGTACCCATCTCTATATTTGGACCAGTAACATGATTATCAAATCAGATGACTTTGTATAAGCTAATTAGCTAGTCCATCAAATCAATTTCATTCGAACGATATGCTTGGAATGTTGAAGGTTAAAATGAACTAGTGCTAGACACCTTTTTTTTGACTCTTTACAATGATTATCAAAGAACAAAACACAAAATTCTTTAAAGCCAATGCGCCACGGAAAGAGCTTTATACTATATAATATTCTTGTTAGTAAACATTTTAGTAAACCTGTCATGATCAACATGATTAAAATTGACTTATGAAGTTAAATCAAATAAAGTCAAGATTCATAGATCTGACCTCCTTAAACTCACTAGTGATGTACACTGGAACTTCGAAGAACACTGTAAATATAACATGAAAAAATTCTGAAAATCAAAGATCATGAAGCAATCATCCAATCAAAATTAATTTTTATAAAAGAATATGTTTACTGCTTCAATAACCTGATGAGTTGTAACTGGTAACGTATATTTAATATTAAATACATTGATTACTTTTTTTTACCCTGTGTATCGCGTGTATTTATCAAGTATAAAACATCCGATATGAAAAAAAATTGTATTAGACAAAAAGAAACCTGAATGTACTTTTGATAACTGATATCTTCATTAACGTCTGGTATTTGTTTATATATTCAGGTGTTTAGCATTTGTTGAGATGTGATTACAATATACCTGTCTCTTTTTATTGAAACAGTTGCGTTTTTTTGTGGCCGACATTTTTACAATAGTTGCATTTTAAAACTTTTACTGTTTGAACTTCATCATAATTTTATCAAAGTTATACAAACATTTCATTTATCCATCTCAATAATAATTATGGTTCATGTAATTCAAAGATATTGATGATGAGAACTGATGAGTATAAATATTTGAATAAACATAGAATGGATTTCAAAAGAAGGTATAATTGTTACTGGTCCAAAATTTAACATTGGGTATAAATGCTTGGTGTTTATTTGAGGATAGGTACTTAACTTTTTAATGAAATTTAATTAATATTGTTTTGAGTTTAAACCCATTAGTATCTTGATTTGAATTAGTAGTGCGTATATTGTACGTCATGATTGTCTATATTATACTTTCTGTCTGAAGTTCAACTAGGATATGTCTAGAGTCTAGATGTACTCCGGCATGGATACCGTGGACAAGTATAAGTTAACAAGCTCTTAATGAAATCGACTCTGGGATGAAGTTACCAATGGATAATAACATGAAGCTGCTGTAGTCTATTCAATATCAAGTGTGAAAAGATCCAACTCAATTAACTCAAACTTTCGTACGTCTAACAAAACAGCTTGAGCGACATTGATTAATATAAATCAACATGGTTGACAACGTACTTAAACCATGGTTTTAAATCTCGCAGTAAATTAAATATCCACAGTGCACTGGGGGCCTATTTTACGCTTGGCAGCACATTATAAACCTACTACATTATAATATGACTATGACGTCTCTATATGGTAAAAATAATTCATCTTTGTATTGATATCAGTACCTATCTCTATACAGTGGACCAGTAACACGATTATCAACTCAGATGACACTGTATATGCTAATTAATAATTCCATCAAACCAATATGCTGGGAATGTTGAAGGTTGAAATAAAAAAATATTAATCAGTTCTTGACCTTTTGGTTTCAATACCAGGAAAGAGAAAGCAAAAGATCGCATATTGTTCATTCCAATACGTCATAGAAAACTTTTGCACTATATCATATTCTTGTTAGTAAAGATTCTTAATAAGGATTTCATGATCAACATGGTTAAATTGACTTATGGAATTTGTAAAACAAATAAAATCAAGATTCATATCTGACCTCCTTAAACTCACCACTGATGCACACTGTAAATTAGAAGAACACTACAAAAACAACATGATGATTAGTTCAGTCCAACACTAAGAATGAGGATGTAATCCCAACAATATTTATGAAATCATATGTTAACTGATTCAATAACATGATGAGTTGTAACTGGTAACGCATATTCAGTAAATTATATAAATTAATATTTACTAGTTTTTTTTACCCTGCAGTATATATCGTGTACTTAACAAGTATAATTAAAAAAAAAATTATATTAGAAAAGATGAAAATTGAATGTTTGAATATTATATAACTGATTCTGCGTTACACATGTGGATTTTTGTTATAAAATGGAATTGTTTCTGAAAAATTATTGTGGTCAATTCTATGATTGTTAAACATTTGGGAAATTCATCGACTTGGAGATGAGAAAATAAACCTTCCCAAACTTTATAATATTACGAAACGTTGTCAATATACTTCAGTTTCTTTGGATATATTTATAGCAATTGTCTCTATCATGTCTTATTTTTTTACATTAATAACATAATTCAATACTTTAACAAATGTGTTTGTTATACATCAAATTTACACTAACATTTCTTTCATCCATTCATCAATATCAATCATGGATTATTCAACTGAAAGATTTTGATGATAGGAACTGATGAGTATAAATATTTGAATAGACATAGAATGGATTTCATAAAAAGTATAATTGTTACTGGTCCAAAATTGAATTCGGGGTATAACCTCCTGGTGTTCTTTTGAGGATAGGTACTTGACTTTTCTAATGAAATTTCTTTAATATTTTTCTGAGTTAATCCCCTTTTGATTCTTTTGAATATCGGGATAAGTAGTATATTGTACCCGATTGTTACTTTCGACTTTTTGAAGTTCACTTACATGAGATGTCTAAGGTCCATATGTTCTCTAGTGTAAGTATAAAGCTATATTATTTAGGATCAAGCACTATATGAGATCTCTACGATAAAATTAACCAGATAAAATGGAGTGTTCTGTTCAATATCAAGTACTAGGTGTCAACGTGTCAGCGTTCCAGTTTTTATTTCAAATATCAGCACTATAGATTAAGGGTACATGGTTAAACTACTATACTGTATACTAATTGTATTTCCTCATATGGTAAAACTAATTCATCATCATATTGATATCAGTACCTATCTATATATACTATAATGGATCAGTAACTTGATTATCAAACCAGATGACTTCATGTCTTATGGAGAAGCTAAGTCTTTTTGCATTAAAATCACGGTAACTACCTTCATATTCAGTAGCACTGTTTAATAACGTCTTGGACAATCTCTCAAAGAATCATATCTGTACAAATTCTAACACTCCATTCCCACAAGATTGGAAACCTTTCAAATAAAAAATCATTTAAGATGGAGTAGAATGTTCAAAAAACACAAAAGGCTATGTGAGTCATCTCTTAGTATAGGTTCAAATGTAAAACAAGTCAATACAAGATCAAATAACAAGGATTATATTGATATTATCTGACAGATTGACCCCAAAACTAACTCACTGGATATGTCACTATGGAAAAAAAAATCCAGAATATGAGCACAGAAAGCATCAAAAAGATTCAACATCAAAAATCAATCCAATGAGGTAAGAGTGAATATAAGCTAATAATCTGACATTGAATCTCAATGTATCTGATTCAAGTCATGATGTTAAGTTGTTAAAGAGCACGCGTGGAGATGTTTATAATGTTTTTAGAAAAGTTGTTGAAGAAGCCTGGAAATAATGATTTTGAAATTATTTATATTTACCGCGAATACACTAGTAGTAACAAGGATTCTATAAAGCTCTTTGTATTGGTTGATTTGTTGATCATCCATTAACTCAAATATATAAATGGGTTAAATCCCCACTAGATATTCTATATAGCTATTCTTTACAACAGTAACGGATTTCCTAATAATGGAGTAAACACACTTTCCTATATTATAGTATTACCAACTTTGTAGTATATGGTGTGGTCCAGACCGCCTTTTGTTGGTTTTCTTCCCAATTTTCAAGAGCATTCAAATGATGTTGACTACATACACAAGGTGTTAGTTTCCAAATCTATATCATGGCCTAGATAAGTAAATTTGGACTGAAATAATTTAAGCTTTTTGATATTTGCAACTTTGACTCAGATGTCCATCTCATGGACTTTCAATTACGTTCATCAAGTATGATTCATCTATATTATTTTTGAAACAAAATAGAAAGTGTTTATAGCTTTTGTATGATTCGTTTTAACAAATCAAGTAACCCAGTGGTATTGGCGTATTTTCACCCATATTATTAAAAAGATTGCTATCAAGATATTGTAAATGTTTTATTCATTTGTCTCAAGAATAATTATGTTTCATTCAACTTATAAAGATATTGATGATGGGAACGGATGAAATATATATAAATATCTGAATAGACATGAAATGGGTTTCAAAAAAAAGTTTAATTGTTACTGGTCCAAAAAGATGAATTGAAGGTATAAATGCCTGATGTTTATTTGAGGATAGGTACTTAACTCTTCCATGAAATCTTTGATATTTTTGAATATATATTGGGATAAGTAGTATTGTAATTAGCGATTGTTTGTTTCTAGATCTGACGTTCAGTTACAAGAATTGGTCGATACAAATATTATTTGCAGAAGTCAAATTAGCTTTATAAGTAATTATACGTCTAGAGTACTCTAGACATAATCCGAAACCGTGTCAGACTCAGCACTACAACTTTACTTTATGAAATTTCTACAATATATAAAAGTAATAAGAAACAAAAACTCCAATTCTTAATTCAAATATCAGTACCTATTCCAATTATCTCAGAACCAGTAACATAATATTATCACTAAAATTGTATATCATCTAGATTTATGTCACTTTTGATAAATTGTCCTTCTTAGTCAAATCAAAAGCTCTTACCCCTTCATTATCTAAAGAAGAATCATAAAGTAACAAATCTATTCATAGTTTAACTAGAATAATTGGTCAAAAACAGATTCCAATAAAAGGTGTCCCTATTATCAAACCTATAAAATGCCCAAAATGCAGCTTTACCACTTATGGTTCATTAATTTTTTTCCTATTCAATTCACTAGTTAGTTGTTATCAATATCATCAAATTGTGAGTATAAATATTCCAACTCTTCTCAATTAGTCAACAGATTCTCTATACTCAATTTTTTCCATCCACATTATCTTATCAACATACCCATTGTAGATTACGTATACGCCAACAGAATTTCCCGATTTGAAAGTACTTTTCATGTGTTACAAGATTTGAAGATTAAAAAGTAGATTGAAATCAGACGGGGATTATAATTTATATCCCCTAATCAAATTCGCGGGTGGTTTGAGAAGCATCGCGAATTTTGCTATCTATATATCAAAACATAAGCATAAACAACAACATCTTAGAATTGTCATACTAAAGTCAATTCCTATCAAGAGATTGCCGCTGTTGCAAGGAAGTGGGATGGGGAAAGACATTCAAGCTGATAAGTGCTTGATCTAAAGATGGAAATATCAATACTGGTGTAAATCATCGTGCGTCATAAATTATGACTGGTCATATTGTTGAGATTATACATTGGACTTATAAATGTATCGTATCTCCTAATTCCAAAATGTTTGATGATTCATACAGATACAAGTTGAAGGTTATTCCCAGTCCATATCAACATGATTCATTTATTACTGGGATTACCAGATGAAGTATTACTTCAGATTCTTGGACATTTGAGACCACATGATATCAATAATTTGTGTTCAATCCCTATAATTTCACAATCAATTGGTAAATTCATCACAGTTATAAGAGAGGGTGATTCAAGAGACAATTTTTTCAATAATATACCATCTGAAGCTCATGTTATTCACTCAAAAAGGTTCAATCATTATGATAATTTGGAGTCATTAGTCAGACCTATTATGCTTTTTGAAATTACAGATTTTAGAAATTATACTGAATTTATATCTAAATTACCCCCTACAATAATCGAATTCATTTTTTATTCAATAAATTCAAATGATATAAAGGAAGGTCTCCGTCAAATCTCTCGTGATATCGATTTGGTGAACTCTACCCATGGTTCAAGATCATTAAATGACGCAAAGACCATACATAAGCTTCTTACATGTCCTACAAGCTCTGAAAGGGACTTGTTCGAATATTTTGGTGCAAGAAAGGTAAATTTATGGAACCGTCACGATAACTACTCAAATTCATTTCATTTCAGCTCAGAAGTTGAACAACTTAGCCTTGGTTCCTTTGTGAATACCAATCAAATCTATGGAAGGTTTTTTTTTTGGAAATTTATCCCTTTTACATATTTATGCACGTTCTAGAGATGCTCATCCTATTATTAGTGGATTTGATTTTAGAAAACAACCTGTTAGTACTTCGGAGGTTATAGATACTTCTAATTTTAGCTTCACTGAACATAATTTCAACAGTATTACAGCTTTACATATTGAATCATATCCAACTCAAACTGCATCGGACGTATATGAAAAAGTTGAATGTACATTCAAGATTGATAATTGCTCATTCAATAATCTTAAAAAATTGGTGGTTGATAATGTTCGAACTGGGTTTATTAAAAACTCAAAATTTCCAAAGCTTGAGTATTTAAAAATTTCCAAAATTGGAGATCTGCCATTTGAAGATTTTGAGCTAAAAAATGTCGAATTTCCTGGATTAATTCATTTCACTTGGTGTTCCAATTATAAAGGTCCAATAATTCATAAAGATGTTGAATTCCCAAAGCTCAAAATTATGGATTTAGGTGTTCATGCTGTTAGTTCCAAAGATTTGAATTTCAGATTGTCAAGATATTTCATCATTTGAGATTGAAACCCACATTAAAATTGAACCTGAAATCCCAAAATATTTATTTGTGAATAATCTTTATCATCTTCAAACTTTAAAATTTTCCAATTTTAATAACCTGACATTTTTAGGAATCCGTTCAGTTGATGCAAAAAATTATGAAAATTTTCAATATTTGAAGTTTAATAATTTAAAGAAAGCCGACATCAACATTAAAGGATTGTTTTATAAAGATGATGCAGAAGGAGAACATTATGTGATAGATAGGCATGAAGAAGGTTCTTGGACATCCAGGGTGAAGTTTTTCGAAAATCAAAAACCAATTTCCCTTTGTTTGATGCTCCTTTATTACAACAATTAATTCTTAGAACATTTCCTTCAAATGGTGAAGGATTCCAAAAACAAATAGTGGATCATTTGAAGATTTTAAAAGAATTGTTACTGATTATTGAATATCGTTCAGATGAAAAAAAAATAACAATTCACAGTGACGAAATTCCAAATCAAGTAGAAAAGCTATCAATAAGGTCAGATAAATTGATGAAATTATCAATCATAGGATTTTTTGAAAATTTAAGATATTTGGAAATTTTGGAAAGACATTGCCCTCATAATTTAAATGATCCTTCAAAGTATAATCCTTTTGTTATTGGTTATTCAGATTTACCTGGGAAAGTGAGATCAGTAAGATTATTAATATACGGCCCAAAATTAAATGTTATAAAATCCAAAGGACGTATTTTTAAGAGTTTTACACTTGCAAATTGTCCATCTTTGGAAGAATTATCAATTGTTCACAATGTTAGTGTTGTGGATGATTTACCTTCATTGAAAATATTGAGAATATTAGATACCAATAAAGCATATGGGATTGCTTTAAAAGCATCAAATTTGAGAAAATTACAATATCCATTAAAAGCTGAGTTTTTATATTTAGATACACCATTATGTTCAACTTCTCATGATACAGAAGATGTTGAAATGTATGAAATTGGTGATTATGAAGAGATGAATGAAGATCCATCTGATGGAATTAAAATAATGTATCAAGATCTCTTAGATGAGTTTCCAAATGGATCTCTTATGAATATGTCTCATGGTTTTCCTTATTGTGGTTTTCAAGGTCCTACATTCAAATAAATCGTAGTGGATGTATAAAAGAATTTCATGATCAATATTTGAATGTGAACGCTACATTTCCTAATTAATCTTTATATGATACTTTTGTAGTTAATCTATTTGCATGTAGCTCTAACGAGAGATATAGCTTTAATTACATCGAAGCGCACAACATCAATAAGTCATCGAGATATTAAAATTTAGCCATGAAAATTAATTGTGTCCCGTTAAAAATTTTCAACTGATATTTTACAAATCACCACCATTTGAACGATCAGAAACATCAACATGCTAGGTTTGAATACAAAAGTACGTGAAAATGTGTTGTAATATAGAAAGAAACAACTGATTATAACATGATATTTGCTGTTTATGTTAAGTGAATCTTCTAAGAGCAATGGGATGTTGTGTAACTGATAATTATCGTTATAGTAAATTGATTTTGGACGTGGAAATTTACAACTAATCTGTGACGATGAACAATGATCTAAGATTTATATCCTAGGTTCAAGAAGAAGTTGGATAAATTTCAGAGAGCTCTTCAATATTACAAAAGAGTACATTTGAGAGTTCCAATATATATAGTATTATGAGAAAGCTATTGAATGTTACTGGTTTCAATGTTTGAAACATAAGTTTTGAAATAGAAATAGGTACCTCAGTTTTAATACATAATACACAATCTTTTTGTCAATCATATTATAGGTTGTAAGATTTTTATACTTGATACATTTAGACCAGATAGTTACTTCTTGCTGATTGACCTTCTTTTAGTCAGCTAAAACCCTGACACTGGATCCTTATTTCATCTTAACGATAGCGCTAATATTCGACCATTTTAGTACTGGTGAAGCAGAAACGTCTACGAACATTCCAATAAGAAGTCCATTTCATATCAGAAAAGACATTTATATATTCAAATCATTTTGAAATCAGTACCTAATTTCAAAGAGCTAAAGTACCAGTAACTTGAAACCAAATGATTGAAATACCTTATTTACTCTATGATAAACATTCAAACATGTAGATCCAAAAATACCAATAGCTCATCCGTACCTTTGATATAAAATAAATCATTAAAAGTATGATAATGAGCCGGCCAGTTTCAATGAATATTTGAAAGAACGTCATAGATTTCTTTCATGAATAATTAAATGCAAGTTAATTAAAAGCTGGATACACACAACACTTTCAAGAATTCAGAAAGAATAGACTCAATTCATTCTGACCTCAACATATTAAGCAATTTGGTATGTCATGATCCAATTATCAAATTAAAATTTCTTTTTCACCATGTCAAGACTCAAAATAAAACAATTCAACCATCTTCATGATTCCATAAGTAAACAATCTTTGATTTTTCTTAATGAATTGTATAAAAATTACAATTTTAATAATTTTCTGCAATATTTTTACCCGGAATAGATGCGAAGCCGGGACTTTGGATGCCACTAAATTTTGATCAATTTTAATTATACATTCAGCCATTCAAAACTATACATTACGTTTGTACATATCCATAACGTTGAGACTTTTTTTCTTGAGCTTTTCAGCATATCGAACTTCTAATATACTGAAGTTTTAGGTGAGTTCATATAGTCATAAGGTCTACTTTCTTTTTTATGCAGAAACATATCTGCTGCGTCTTCCTTCTAATATTACGGTCCTTGGAGTACGCGGTAGAGAGGGTTTTAAATCAACACTAGATGGACAAATCATTTGATAACAGAGTATCAATCAATGAATGTTAATTCAAAATTTGGTTTATCTGATTGAAACATATAATGATTCTATCTTGTGCATAATATATCAAATAACAACATTGACTTAGTTTTTTTAGATTCATTTGGAAACTTATCTAAACAGAATAATTGAAAGTGATCAAAGCTAAGTATCAAATGTTTTAATACATATTCTGGATAATTAAAATACTTGAAACATTGATTGATGTAGTTATAAAGCGATTGTAATCAACTTTGATTTGAAGAGATAGATGAAATGGAAAGATGGTTGGTGAAGATGAAGATGTTCAACTTGTATTGAATTGTGAATATCCAGTTATTGATGAACTACAGTAAAATAATGGTCTATAAGCAACTGAGACGAGTTGAAATTTGGGCAAAAATTGTATATTTAAAAAATCTTCTTCACAATCTGATTTATCAGTACCTATCACTTTCAATTCAACATAAAAGGACCAGTAACATGAAAATAATCAGTGTGACAGGTATTTCAAAAAGGCAGCTAAATTTGTATCCTGGAATAACATATCATAATTAATTAATATGCACCCCCAAAAGATCTAAAGCTCCTGGAACTTAAAATTATGGCCGTTGGAAGCTAAAAAATACAAAATGTACACACAAAAATCTTTGAAAAAGCAGAAATTTTCATAGCAATAAAATATTTCATACAAAATGCGTCATTCAAATTTCATATATATAAATTCAAATTAGGAAGCAATTTGTTTATAGAAATGAAAATTTTGACGATGTCGTGCGTGTCGCTTGTCAACTGTTGATCATGATAAAAAAATCATACGCGAAACTTTTTCTATCAACTTTAACTTCACTAATAATTTAATTCACCATATAAGGATGACACAACTCTTTTTTTGAATAGAGAATTTCATATGTTTCTAGTTTCCAAATATTTGTTTAAAACAGTTGTGCTTATCTTGACTGCTAATTTTAAACCCATTAAATTTGATATGTTTAAATCATCTCATTAAGACTGAACTTTTTAAATGTTTTACGTCATTTTTTTTTTCATACCAACCATCACCTTGAATTTGAATCAAAGATTTCAATTGAAGGCTAATGACAGCTTTATATGAGATTAAGGTATAATTCAGATGATTTGGATATGGTTACAATTACATGATCTTCAAGAATGTTTCAACGTTACTGGTTCTTTATAAGAATAGGTACTTGAACATTTATTTGAAATCGTATATATTTTACTTGATTATTTTAATAAAGGTATTCTGTTCCTATTTGACCAATCAATTATATGTAGTGATCGCCAACTAATACTCATTCATGATGATATCGATGTCAGATTAATTGAAATTTTAACTATATCTTGTAACTTGTAAGTTGTCAAGCTTCATATTTTCGTGGCCTAAACACTAATTTATTAATTGTTAAAGAATTTTTCTGCATGATTTTAATTTTATGAATTCTTGTTGAACTTTTTTCGAATTAAAGTTTATTCAATTGCCTCTTTAATGGGTCTGTATGTCTTGTTACTCCACTAGCCTTTTGTTTAGCCAAATATAATTGGTATATTCAACTGAATTTTCAAAATTCTTAACATACTTAAATCTGAGCTTCATATCTGTTTTTGAGTCGATGGGCATATAATAGTATGAATTCACAAAGTGAAAGTATTATCTCAGTATGGCTGCTGGCCATTTCATTCTTTTGTCTTTATCAGCTCCTATAGATTATTGAGATGATTCAATGAATGATTGAATCTACTGCTCTTTTAAACTGATAATTCAAGCTGTTGATTCAATTCATGTTAATGGTATTACATATATGAAGAATATATTTATTGTTACTGGTTTCTTAATTGAAATAGGTACATAACTTTAGTATATGTGATTATTAATTATACTCATTAAAAGCTTGTAGCTGTATTATATATTAATATCAATACAATACTTAAAATCAAAAGCCAATTGAAATATATAATGTCTTCTAGATCAGTGAGATATATCAACAAGTACATATAGTAAACGCTTTCAGTTCATTCCGCTGTATTCAACAACTTCTATAAGTACATTCTTAAAACTACATCAAACTATAATATACTTTACGATTGAAGCTTGAAACTTTAAATAAAAAAATTGTATATTTAAAAGATCTTAACCCCTATCACAATCTAATTTATCAGTACCTATCACTTTGAACTCAATCAAAGGACCAGTAACTTGATAATCAGTGTAATAAGTTTATATAATTGACATTCATAAGTTTATGAAAAATCGAATGAAATAATTCACAACCTAAAAGTATTTATGAGCTAAACCGATTCGTGACTTCTAAGAAGAACAAATTAAGGAATGGACGTCATAACACAAATTTCAAGATATGATGTATTAGTTTCTCGTTTCTCACATGAAACTGTGACAATTTAAGAGCCCTTCAGATATAAAATAATTATAAAGAGTTGGAGAGAACAATATTAGATGCTGATACAATAAGATCTGATTTAAGCTGATTAAAAAAGCAAATATCAGATATAAAGTACTGAGAAGTAAATGAACATGTTTTGACGCGCGCGTGTTCAGTAATTAAAATTTTTAAAAAAACTATATACGCGAAACTCTTTATTATCGATCACGCGCGTTTGATCTTTGTTAAATATTTTTATTAAATACTAGATGCTAGCATCAGACTTAGCGTCTGACTACAAATAGCTATGTCTTCTTTCAACGAAGTTATTCTCCCATTTATCCTTAAGGTGTTGTGATATTGTTTACAATTTATGCTTTTATATGTGTCATAGTTATTCATTTTATCATCAAGTGATTTTTCGTTAATAAGGTCTCAAGGAGCAGTTTTTTCATACCAATATCATCAATTCAAATAATTCAAGTGAATAATTCCTTAATTGAGCTTATATCAACTCTATGGGATTATATATCATGATATACTTTAGATAATTTGGATATGATTATATGTACATGATTTTCAAAGATGTTTCAACGTTACTGGTTCTTTAAGAGAATAGGTACTTGAACTTTTGCTTGAAATCATATATATTTTTTACTCAATCATTTTAATAAAGGTATTCTATTCCTATTTGATCAATCAATTATATGTAGTGATAGTTAACTTACACACATCCAAGATATCGATGTCAGATTAATTGAATTTCAACTATATCTTGTCAAACTTAACATTTTCGTGGCCTAACCGCTAATTTATTAATTGTTAAAGAATTTTTCATTTTAATTTTATGAATTCTTGTTGAACTTTTCTCAAATTAAAGTTTATTCAATTGCCTCTTTA